AATCCAACTACTACCACTCCACATGCCTTACCTCCCATCCTACTGATTCGATGGCGCCCACGGCCGGTGGTGAGCAAAACGCCAAATTGGCTGTCGGTGGTGATAGGCCGGGCTTAAGGAGAACAGGGTGCGTAACTGACTACCCATGCCACCCCAGTGCGGGGAATTGCGCTGCGAAGCCCGAGCTAGTGAATTTAAAAGGAAGGAATGGTGTGCTGCCTCTGCTACATGGTGGACAGCGGCCTTGACTCGACGTGGAATGGCCAAGACACGACAAGGCATGGCAGCACAAGGACACAACCTCATGAGCGAGGGCAGGGGTTGCGTGTTAAATGCTTAGGTGTACGCGGCAGTGCAGCGTCGCGATGCGGCAGGGGCAGTTCAAGCCGGAGAGGGGTAGGTGAGGTGAGCGGCTATGAACATGCGCTACAGGGCGAGGCAAAGTGATAGGAAAGGTAGAGCGTAGTCCTGTGCGCGATTTGGCAATACGTGCACATGACGCGGGGCAGTGGCTTCCAAGCCTGGCTTGGCGCGCAGCCGGCGGCCTCGTGCTCGCTGTCGACATGACCCACGCGCCGCAGTGCCATAAATGGCAAGGCGACGGTGACATGGCCTCGTGCGCGTGGCATCAAAGCGGGCCAATGACACAGCGCGGTGTAGCGGTAGGTGCGCAGCGTGGCAATGTGATGGTAGCGGCAGCGGCGTCGACGCGGTGCGGGCGTGGAGGTAGCAGCAGCACCAGCGGCACGACCCCGAGACCGTGGCATGGCAGTACAGCGATGCGCGCAGCGAACAACGTAGGCTACGACGAAGGGAGAGAGGGAGAGAGAGAGAGAGCAGCGATAGCACCGCCGCTTGATGGCGATAAGCAATGGCGGAACCTGATATTGCCGGCGCGTGGCGGCGATGGCGGCGGTCGGTACCGGTCGGTTGGAGCCTAACGCCACAACGCGGGTGACCAGGCCAACCAAGCGTGGCAATGTGCATGCGCACGCAGATCGCACGACAACGCCACAACGACGCGCCCCCGTGGTCTAGTGACCGCGCCCAGCCTAGAGGGCTAGCCCGAGAACGTGTTGTGCACGGATTTTAAAGCAACGACTACCACTAAACCATTGCCTCTAAACCAAAACCGACTTCATCACGATCAAACTGATACATGAGGCTGCTCAGCTGAGCTAGAACACCACATCACCCTCTAACCCAATCCCTCTAAATAAATTGCTAAACTTGGCAATGTCCAGCTGTACACAAGCTTGAAAGTTTCTAAGTTTTTTGAGTTGAATTCTATTTCAAATTGCATTTCTAAGCTATTGAAAATATTACTAAGCAATATTATTTTTCAACATCAAGTATTTCATTATCTTCTACAAAGTTTGCACTCCCAACTTTATTTAAGTATCACACACATGTTCTATAGTATTTTTGCTTAATATAAATTGGTTTTAAACCCTACTTGGTATACATGAGCTATTGCATCAACATTGATTTAACATTTTTATTGATTATTTCAGGCTACAAGAAATTTATCAACACCTTCTATCACATACATTATTACACAAACACAATGTTCATGACACAATTTAGTAGTTGGTTTAGGGCGTAACACCGAGGGTGTTACAATGGGGTGGAGGTGTAGGTGGCGGTTGGAAGGGTGGTGTGGGTGGCTTTGGAAGAGGTCAAGGTCGAGGTGATTAGGGCAGAGGCAGAGGGGATCCGGGTAGAGGAAGAGGCAGGAATGTTTGGGAGCGCTGAGAGGAAGACTCCAAGAAGCCTGTGGTTGAAGATACTCCACATGGCGATGAAGCTTCTAATGAGAAGTGGGAATAGGCTACTGAGAAAGTTGGGAACAAGCAAGGGCTAGAATTTGAAGCTGATTAAGGGACAAAATCTGAGGAGAATCAAATCATTCCTGCCCTACGAGCTCCTGCCCAAGGTAATCCTGTTGATGGTACCCGCAATGGTCCTAATCCTGCTCAGAATAGGGTTGCTTGTGAGAACTGTGGTCTGTTTAATCATTTGACTAGAGATTGTAGAAAGGTGTTATGTGAAATCTATGGGTCCAACAATCTTTTTTTAACACAATGGCAGGAGCTCTACCTTTCAATTAAGATAGGGAAAGAAAGTTTATGTACAAGCAAGGACAAACGAGATTAAGGTTTCATCCCCCAACCCCCCATACACCTTTGAGCTAAACGTACTCAAGAGCTCTCTTCCTATCCTGTATGTCTTCCTTTATCCTTGCGGCACCGTTTCTATCAAGTTGTTAAAAATTCTCCTATTTCTCTCTTTCCATATATTCCAGAAGGTGTAGATTACTACCCCGTTCAGCCGCCTACGCTCAGATCTTGGCACTTTTGCTGCCGCATCTTCCCACCATGGCTTGATATGGGTGGGGTCTACCTAGCTACTGTTGCAGTTGAGTGAAGTTTTCCCATGATAGGATTTGACCCCACACCGCCTTAGCAAAAGGGCAACAAAGGCATAAGTGGAGGCCTGTTTCTAAGGGACCGTTGCATAGGACACATTGTTGTTGGTGCGGCCACCCTCTCTTTTGTAGGTTATGTGCCGTTAGAATTTTATCTTGCACTAAGATCCAGGCGAAGATCTTGCATCTGTTCTCCACATGCGCTTTCCAAATCAAATCCGTACGGAAGGGGAGTAGCGAACCTCTGAATTGGATTCTGTAGGCCGAGCGGGTGGAGTAATTCCCATCCTTGGTCCAACGCCAGGTGATGGTGTCCTGGATGCCCTGCTGTAGGTGCACATCCTGTATTCGTATCCAGAGGGATACAAACTCCTCTATGTGGGTAGTCGAGGTGATTTTCCTTCCTAGCTTATGCATCCAATTGTTGTTCCGTAGCTCTTTTTGCACCATTTGGTTTGTCCTTGAGACTAGCCGGAACAAGTTTGGGGCTAGATACTTAGGAGCTTGTCCATCGAGCCAACTGTGGTGCCAAAACTTAGTCTTTGCACCATCCCCCAAAGATATAATGATTGAGGAGTTGAAGAGGAGGCGGTCATCATCAGAACATGGGAGCTTCGAGCCGCTCCAAGGCTTGGAATCGTCCACCCATTCTTACCAAAGCCATCGCAACCGGAGAGCTCGCCCAAATCTCTCCAGGTCAGGGACACCTAAACCACCAAGGTCTTTCGGTCTGGTAACTGTCTACCAGTTAACTAGGCAGTGCCCACCATTTGCATTCTCCTCCCCCTTCCACAAGAAAGATCTCCTGATTTTGTCGATCTTCTTCTTAGCCCAAGCGGCGAGAGGAAACACCGTCAGGTGGTAGGTTGGCATGGAGGAGAGGACAGAGGTTACAAGAGTGAGGCGTCCCGCTCTATTTATCCATCTTCCTTTCCATTTGGGTAGCCTGTGCCCAATCCAGTCTATGAGAGGTTGCACATGGATCCTTTGTAATGATCTAATGTGGAGTTGCAGCCCCAAATATTTGCATGGGAAGCCCCCTCTAGTACCGGTGAAAGGTGATAGTACTTGGTCTAGGTCGACATTTGCACAACTGATTGGATGCACAGAGCTCTTCTGTAGATTAATATGGAGTCCCAAGAATGTGCCAAAAGCCTGCAGGATGGTTTTGACAGCTTCTACATCGTCTTTTGTGGGGCTGATGAAAATGGCGGCATCATCTGCATACATCGAGGTTCTCCATCTAGCCGCCGTGATTGGTAAGGGGGTGAGTATCCCCTGTTGAGTTGCTAGGTCAAGCAGACGTTGAAGCGGGTCCAAGCGGATCTCCCTGGCAGACGCCTCTGGCATGGCTAAAGGTGGCCCCCTATCGCCCATTCAGCATGGGTGTGGAGGAGGATGTACGCAGGAGGATAGAGATCCATTCACGCCATCGCTATCCGAAGCCAAGAGCCTGCATCGTCTCAAGAAAGTACCCCCAATGTACCGTATCAAAGGCTTTGTGGATATCTAGTTTCATGAACAAAGCCAGAATGTTTTGCTTGTGTAGTCTTTTGACCGCACTCTGGACGTACAGAAAATTATCATGGATGCTTCTCTTCTTTATAAATGCGCTCTGGCAGTTCGAGACAAGGGAGTTGAGTCAGGGGGCAAGTCTGTTAGCTAACACTTTGGAGAAAATCTTTGCAATGCCATCGACTAGGCTGATGGGTCTAAAGTCAGTAACTCTTGTTGCATCCATTTTTTGGGTAGAAGGATAATGGAAGTCGAGTTTAGCCATTCGAAACCCTGGGCATTCAATGTGAATAAGCTGTTCATGGCTGCCATAACATCATCTTTAATGGTTTCCCAACAAGCTTTGAAGAAGGCGCCCGTGAAGCCATCCGGTCTTGGCGCTTTGTCAGAAGGCATGGAGTATACAATGTTTTTTATCTCATCCTGGGAGAAAGGCACCTCCAGATCGAAAAGATCATGTTGATTATAGCCTAGGGATTGCCAGTTGATTGTGGAAGCTCTCGGCGCGCGGAGCCAATGTGGTTTCTAAAAATAATCATGTATGACCTTTTCTTTATCTTGATGGGCCACCGCGATTCCCCCATCCATATGTAGACAATGTATGTAATTCTTTCTTTGTCGTGCATTGGCTCTAGTGTGGAAGAATTTTGTGTTAGCATCTCCACATCGGATGTAAGTTAGCCTCGATCTTTGTCTGATTCTTTATTTTTCAATAGCAGCGAGCCCAATGCTATGGGATTTGAGGCGGCGACATAGGTGAAGCTCCATGACAGTGAGCACCCTATGCTCTTGGACTACTTCTAATTGTAACAATACTTCTTTCACAATGGTGAGCTGTATCCTCGTATCCCCTATCTTGTCTTTCTTCCAACGCTTGATCGCTTTTGCCACACGCGCCATTTTGATATACAAGTGTTTCATAGGAAGAGCCGAGGCGACCGGCCTATTCCAAGAATTATGGACGCATTTTGATATACAAGCGTTTCACAGGAACAGCCGAGGCGATCGGCCTATTCCAAGAATTATGGACGAGGTCTTGAAATCCTTCAATCTTAGTCTAGTAATTTTTGAAGTGGAAGGACGTGCTGTGATGGTGGTCAAGCTCTCCCTGGAGTAGCAGAGGGGTATGGTCTGACATGAGCGATGGGAGGGAGTGTAAGAAACACATGGGGAAGAGCAGGTCCCACTCGGTGGTACATAGTAGTCTGTCAATTATAGTGAGCGTCGGGTTGTCCTGTTGATTGCTCCAAGTGAAGCGGCACCCATTTAGCTTGATCTCTTTGAGCCTCAAATGATCGATCGTCGCTCTAAATGCCCCCATGAGGCACCGGTTTAGGTTGGAGTTGTTTTTGTCTTCCGCCTGGTAGATGAGATTGAAATCTCCCAGGATGAGCCATCTATTGTGGACCTGCGGTGGAATGTTCTTCAATTCTTGGAGGAATTGAAGTTTAGTCTTACCCTCTCTCCTCCTCATGTTGATCTGGGCCGTATACCAGGTGTAATTTGCCACCTTGTTCCATCGGCCCTCATGTTAATCTGCTTGCGTATGGTTATGGTGTTCGAGGTAAGTACAATGTCGGAGAGGTCGAAGAAGTCTTCATTCACCACATAAGGAAAGGCAGCCTCCTCGAGTCTGCTTTTTATGATTGATAGCACCGTATAGGAGTTTACAAATTTCGCTCCCATTTGTAGGATGGAATGGTGTACCACATTATGATCCATAACCTACATCTTTGTTTCTGGATGGATTCTAAGACATACAAGCAGTTGCTTGGCGGTGGTTCTCACTGTCAATTGGTTTCGCACACATCGAGTCCTATCGTTTTGATGGGTCATTCAAGCCCCTGACGACGCTCCGATTAAGTATGTTGCAATTCAATTGTGCCATAAGGAAACCAAGCTGGTCCCTTTTAAAAATAATCCATGAGGAGGGGGAAGCATGGCGCCACCAAGGGCCGTTGAGCGGCAATTAGTAGTAAGATAATGACATGGAGGTTTGGATTCATCTTAGAGCCAAATTCGCAAGCTAAAGACGCCGATACATCATTGATAACTCGCAACAAAGCACTACTTGGACCCTTTTTAACCCCTGAATGGAATTCATAAAACACTAGTTGTGTAGTTTGTTGAAGCAAAACAAAGCAAAAGTTTGCTGCTCACAGAGGTATGAATGTACTAAGTACTTTCACTCAATGGCCACGGTCTCGCTTAATCTGCGAGGTGGATGGGTACTCCAACAGCAGTTTGGTGGGGACGGGAAATGTTACCATGGCCTTTGAAGGCCTCTGACAATGTTGACCTCAACTCGAACCCCGCCCAAATACCATAGCATGGACAAACAATGGAAAAGATGTGGACCTCCCCGAGCTCTCCGTGGAATTTGGTGCACAATTACTAACATAGTCTAAAACCTACCCGCAAACTTCTCACAAAGTAGCTATCAAGGCGCCGGTGGTGGTGGCAAAAGGACCGCAAGATTGCGCGTACATTCATCAATGCCGAGGCCAATATAGTCATCATTGTTGGATTTTGCTAAGGCATTTGACACTATGGAGCACTCCACCATCATTGAGATGTGTCATCGAAAGATGAGCGGTCCTTTGAACAGGTTGAAAGAAAAAGCGGGAGTGAGGCAAGGCATCGCCTCCCCGTCGCTATTTGGATCTTGCAATATGTGATCAATGGCTTGAGGCCTTGGACGTCGAGGATGCCAAGCCTTTTCATAAGCACTTATCCGGCCTTCGCTGGTGTCCCCCTCGGCCAGATCTTGGCCGCAGTGAGAAAATTGCGCATGCTCAGGGTGTCAGGTGCATTCTTATCTAGGGCTAGGGGACAAAGATTGAGGAGGGGCCTCTGTTGGATAGAGTTTGCTCTTTGTTGAGTATATTAACTCGGTCCTAACCCCTATCATCAACTATGCTATGTGCACCTTCAAGGTCGAGGGGATTGATAGAATCGAGAAAACAATGCTTATGGCGACCTAAAAGTAAAAGAGGTGGGAATTTGGTGTTGGACCTGCAAAATGGATTGAGGCAAAGGTTGTGAGATCCCCTTTATGGAAGTACTGTGACACCTCCCCAAAGAGCAAGGGGCTCCTTTTGGTGGAAGGATGCGTTAAACTCAAAGATCTCGCCAACATCGAGATGGGCGTGTACCTCCGAAGTGGTCAAGGGGGTTTTGAGTGTGACCGGATACTCCAAGAATGCGCCTTGATGAATTGTTTAATATTGCATAGTGGAGTCCATCAATTTTTCGCCATCGACAATCAGAGGTTGTTCGGTTAAGGTGCTGGGCTCCAAAGCTCTACAAATTAGCATTCTCGGGCGCAGTGGTCGTTGGGAGTGGAAACGAGGCACCAAGGGCGAAGCGCACCACTGGGTGCTTCTGCCGTTGCGCGCAATGCTATGTGCGCGGGGAGGACACATGGCCGCTGGAGTAGACTTCGCCCCTTGCGGAATCGACGCCCAGGCGCGGTGGCGTGATCGCTGCGGTGTCGCGTTGTCATGGTCGCGACTTTGGAGGAGGACCATCGCAGTTCATTCGAGGAAGCTAAGAGAGAATCGCAGCTTGATGCCTTGTAACGTCCGTATCTCCCGGTGTCTTTTGTAAGATGAGTCCTTTATTTTATCGGTGGTGGGGGACGTGACGGCTGCCGCGGCATCAAAGGTGTGTCACAGAGGCGTTACTCGCTTCCAAGTGGTTTGGTGGGGAAGCGGCGAGAGCGAAGAGTGAAAGGTTGGTCATTGAAATGACTTTGATTAGCTACGCACCTTGGGAGGGCTTGGTGATGGGTGATGGTTGTTGCCGCCACCGTTGAAGTGAAGTCGTCATGCATTTGAGGCCTTGGACGCGACTTTTCATAAGCACTTGTGCGGCCTTCGCGCTGGTGTCCCCCCTCGGCGGGTGACGGGACTTGAGCGCTGCGTCGTTGTGGTCCTTGGCTCAAAATGGGAGGCAAAGGTTGCGAGATCCCCGGCGGCCTCGGTGTTGCATCCGTTCCTCTCTGCTTGGTGTGATGAACCTGGTGATGCAGCCCGATTCTTTGCTAGTCGGTTCATGCGTTGAACATTGAACATCTCCCGGGCGGCCGGAGTCGTCTGGAGTAGACGAGGTTGGTGGCTTGGCCAGCAGGTGCTTGCCATGCTTCAGTGCGGGGAGGACACATGGCCGCTGGAGTAGACTCGGTTCGCCCACGCGATCGCTGTGGTGTCGCGTTGTCGTCGCCACGGAGGACCCTGCAGTTCAATGGCTAGCGGTCGCCATGAGCGCCGGCAGGCCGTTCGCCGGGTGTGGCGTAATCGTGGTGGGGAAGGCGCGAATGGCGGACGCACCTTGGGAGGGCTTGGTGATGGTGGTGCCGCCACCCAGGTTGAAGGGCGACTTACAGTCGTGACGAGGACTTGAGGCGCGTTGTGGTCCCCGTGTTCGGGGCTCCGGTGCCGACGTCCACCGTGCCTCGACTCCACTGCATATGGTTGCAAGAGGTGTGTCTTGGAATACTGGCCCAGAACTCTATGCAGCTCAAGTGGAGGATCAGAGCTTCTTCTTTATTGATTGATGAGGAATTGATTGATCCAAGGGTTTCTAGGGAGAAGGAAAGTATTGCTGTGATTTCCATTGTGCAAGGGCATGCTACTGGAAAACAGATAGAACAGCAATTCATGCATGTAGCTGGCTCAAGTACCTGGAAGTGGAATGCAAGACAGGTTGGGGAGAATAGATTTGTTATGAGATTCCCTAACGCTAAGTTGGTATTTGATTGGAGTCAGTTCGAGGCTTTAACCATGAAAGAGGCTAATGCTCAAATGAAGGTTGAACAATGGTCACCGAAGTTTGGCGCTAAAGGGGTGCTGCAACAAGCTTCGTTCAGAGTGGGGGCTATTCCTGCTGACCAGAGATCCATTAGAACTCTTGCAAAGGTTGGGGGTCTTGTAGGCAAGGTCATGGAGATAGATGAGAAAACTCGATACAGGGCTGATTATGTGAGAATGAAAATCGCTTGTAGGGATGTTCACCGGGTCCCTAAAACTGCTGAAGGCACCTTGGGTTTGTATTTCTATGACTTCACTTTTGAGAGAGAAGTGCAAGGTGTAGAGCCTGAGGACTTTGTCTAGTGGGATCAAAATTACTGAGAAAGGTCCTGATCCTAAGCGTTTCAAGGCTGATGAACAACCCAAATTTCCTCAAGCTTCTGGTACTGTTTCTCAGAGTGGGAATCCAAATCATAGTGCTAGATCTAGCAAGTTAATTCAGCAATCCAAGACAACTCAGATTTCCAATTCTGCTCCTCCCAAAATGAGTGGTGATAGATCTGACAAAACTGGGAAAATTCCTGCTCATCTGATCTCTCCTGATGAAAAAGCCAAAGGTGTTGTGACTCAAACTGTTGATCAGACAATGGGAGGTGGTGAGCAAGCTGACAAGGTGCATATGCCGGACACTTTTGAGGATTCAGATGCAGAAAGTGAGACGCTAAGTGAAAAATTGAGGAAGATTGATGCTTATGATGACACTAATCAGGGCAATTCCAAGGAAAAGATCAGTGATGAGAATCATCAAGTTTGGGCTATGGAAATTGATGAGAATGTAGGAGATGCAGCTCAAGTTATAAAAGCACAGAAGCAAGCTCATGCAAGCCTTGGTCTAAGTGGTCTCGCTGACATGCCATGTGATGAGACTCTTATGACCAATCTTAATCAAGTAGAGAAAGATGTGACTAATGAAGCTATTATCAACTCTAAAGAGAGTATCATTACTGATGATGGGCAGGACAACTCTGGTATGGTGATAATGGATACCAATCCTGGTGGGTCTGTAATGGCTACTGTTCAAGAACAAGGTCCTGGTAATCAGATTGAGAGAAGGAGGAGCGAGAGGCTAATGAAAGATATGTTGCTGACTACCCAGGAGAAGACTGAAGCTATGGCTAAGAAGAGATCGCTAGAAGGTAACATCACAAAGCCACAGAATCTTTAATGAGTGCTTACATTCTCTTGCTAAGAATATGGGGGTGCATGTTAATAATACTGGTTTTGCCACTTTTGATTTGCTTAAAGACTTAGAAATTGCCAGAAATTGCCTGCATATCAAACATTTTAATAAACCTAATATTATTACTGAGGCTGAGACTGTTGAGTTCAATCCTGTAGATGAAAATATTCCTGTTATTGTTGAAATTACTGATGATGACTCTGGTTTAGAAATGTTAGTTATTCAGAAATCGAAAGGAAAAACCAAAACAGGTATGAAAAAATGTAAAGTCTCCCTAGGGGGGAGAAAGCAAGACCAGGAAGATCTTGGCTTGCATAATTCCAGGAATGTTAAAATTCCTATGAATCTGAATAAAAGAAAAAACAAAGGAAAAAATGATGATACAAGGCCTTTTTTTGGAACTGTAGAGGCTTGAAAAAGAAAGGAGTCTCTACTTTCTTAGAAAATCTCATTCTAGAATACAAATTCCATTTTTTGGGGCTT